TAGTAATAATTACAGGCTGCTGTCAGAAACCTAGCTTCCTAATAGCCTTTCATTCTTCCCACTATTCACTGTCTTCGGGGAAGGAAGAGGGACTTCAGAAAAGTACCTCCTTATTGAATTATTGAATGGATTTCTTAGCATGAGCTCCCCTGCAGCTATGAACTCAATAGATCATCCATTACCTGCAAACGCCACCAAGTTTACGCTGTTTAATGACTTGTGGAGTATCCCGTTAGATCACATTGCTTTCCACGCTTCTTTTTTTTTAAAATCATCCTTTTTCCCCCTTCCGAAAAGAAACACAAAAATGAATCGAAAGATGAAGGTCCGAAACGCCCTGAACCATAAGAAAGTGAAACTGCTACTGTACAGAGAAAACCTGAGAGAGATACGGCCGCACAAAAACAACGGTACCTCCCTATAAAGCACAGATGACAACAGATGGAATCTGAGAGTAATGGGGTTCTGGCTAAAAGAAGACACCTAAAGGAGGAGGTAATGTGGGGAACCATACAGCCTTGAGGTATCTGCTCACTGAAATAAAGTCTCCCTCACTGAAATGCATCACGACTTTCACCGCACTAGAAACGAACTAGCTCTGTTGCACCACTCATGTTAACCTCTATCAAATATTCATAGAAAATGCCATGGAAAGTTCACATCCTCCTTGCTGTTAACATCACAAAATCCTTTACATTCTTCTCTCGGTGTCCTCCCTCCTCCCCACTTGACCACCGATACTCAAGTGTATCCACGCCATTAAAACAAACTTACCCCCTTTACCTCTTTCCACGGGCCCCCATCCCCAGCAGCTCCCGAGCGTGTTTGGTTTTCTATTCGGCTGTGTTTGCTCATTAAGAGCACCCCCCTCCCCCAGTGGAATCTCTCATCCGCTTGTGAACATCGTCTTTGTTACCGAACAACATACCTTGGTGCATTCCATTACACTGCTCTTCCTGACTCGCTAGCCTGGCAGCTGTGGTGTGTGCCAAGAACTTCTGCCCCAGCCTAGAAAGGAAAGGGCCTTTGGCAGCAGCTTCTAAGAACGTCTCTTTCGGCTGGGGTCAGGTGCCGAGAGTTTTCTTTATTAAAATCCATGACAGGATTTAGCTGGGTCTAGCGCGCTGTGCTTCAGAGGCCACCCTGACTGTGCTAATCCTGCCCCACTACATATCTTGCTGCCATGGAAATAATTCATTTATTTACAAGAAACAAAATGGGCTGCTGGACTCACCCTGCGGGGTTTAGGACAGCTTAAAAGGGATGCAGGTTAAAGGCAAAAGGCCCGGTTCTGCAAATCACGGAGGCACCAGGAAGGTTTACTCAGATTCATGGGTGTAAAATACTTGAGGATTGCTCCCTGCATTTTCAAAGGTTGGCACTTCTGGGTGGCACCTGAGCCATGCCCATAGCTCACATTTGCATAGGGAATTACCTGTTTTGGCTGAGTGTTTTTCACCCTGAGTGAGCAGATATTTTTTAGGTCAAAGCAAACTTGGCCAAACTGTCAACCTGGAATTAGTAGCCCAACTGAGCATGTATGTACATGGACATTCTGCATAACCCACCACCCACAACAGCCATTGGAAAATCTTGGCCCTTTGGATATGTTGAGTGAGAAGTGCTGAAATTAAGGGGGGGGGGGGGCGGGGTGTAGAAAATTAAAA